GGCAGCAGGAAACAAGCTTGCTCCCTCCTCCCTATAACATCCCCTCACATATTTATATATGGCCATCATGTCTCCTCTCAACCTTCTCTTCTGAAAGCTAAACATGTCCAGCTCTTTAGGCCGCTCCTCAGATGCCGTCACTGTATCTGGTTGTGATCCCCAGGTTGTGCCAGTCATCTTTAGTGCGATATTGATTCTAGCACCCACTTTTTGCTTGAGGAAGATAAAAGACACATGAAGAGATGATAACTATTGAAAGCTATCCTATGGGAATGGGCTAACAGTAAATCATTTTAGCAAAGAATATAGAGAGATAGAGACGTATATTTATATTGTTAGGTATGCATTTTCTTTCTGGTTCTTCCTTTCCTTGGTTTCCTTCATACATTTCTCCCTCTCTTTCGTTTTTCTTCCCTTCTTTTTCTCTTTCTTTCCTTCCTTCCGTTGCTTCATACCCTCCAGCCTCGCGTGCTCTTCCTCGCCCGCACATGCGCACCAAGCAGCTATGTGCTGAGCACGCCTGCTCTTCCCTCCCCTGCTTGGAGTCTCAGAAACAGAACTCCCCTTGGCTGAGAGGCCAGCCAATCACAACGGAGGAGGGCTTTTGGTGGGAGGATTTGCCGTCTGTTTCCAAAAAGGAAGAGAAGAACAGGTGGAGAGATCTTCAGCCTTCTCTGCCAAAGGAGTTCCTAAGACTATCAGAAATATGTTTTCGGATGGTCTGTGGCGACTCCTCTGAAACCCCCTCATAACCCCCCAGGGGTCCTGACTCCCACTGTCCTAACTAAACACTCAATGGGCAAAAAATCTGGCAAGAGCATTGGACTTTATTTTCTGTTATACCCTTTTATCGTGTGCATTTCTTTGCAAAGTTTTGTCTAATTTTGTGGGAGGTTTTTTTATTCTTAAAGGTAACACTATCTGTTTTAAAGTCATTGTATACTATTTTTGAACCACAGCTTCCTTTCTTGTTGCCTTCAGGTTCTTCAGGAGTAAAAACAAGCAGAGTTTGCTGCAAAACAGGTACAAACAAAACCAACACAAATAGCGCTATGTAACACATTTTTTGTTCCTGGGTTATAAATGTCATTTCCTAATTGGTTCTATCATAAAATCATGGAAAAGGTTGATTAAACTGCCAAAACATTGTGAGAGGGACATCCTGCAGCATATTTTGCTATAGTGTTTCAGTGAACATCTCATTACAGAATCCTAACCAATTCAATGTAATTTGTGGCAGCCACACAAACAAAGTTTCTGGAGTCGAACAACTACAGGGGTTATCCAAAAAGTAAGGTTATAAGGCACATAGCTCTCATGGGGAATTTTCATGGAGGAAATTGGTCTCACTGCCGTGTAGCGGGAAGCCAGAGAAATGGAACGAGCAGTGCCAGTCGTCAGATGCTCATCAACTGGCAATGTGGTGAAGGTTAAAGATGAGCGTCCTCATTCCGTTTCCCTCCAAGTGTGAAGTTCACGAGGGATATCCAGAAAGTAAGGTTACAAGGCGCGTAGGTCTCATGGGGAATTTCCTCAGGGGAAATAGGTATAATTGCCAAGCCAGAGGAAGCAGACGAGCAGTGCCAGTTGTCAGTAGCTCATCAACTGGCATTGTGGTGAAGGCTAGAGATGAACGTCCGCATTTTGTTTCCTCCAAGTGCGAAGTTCACACTGTATGAGGGATATCTGGAAAGTAAGGTTACAAGGCATGTAGCTCTCACGGGGAATTTTTGCAGGGGAAGTTGGCATCACTGCCGTGTACCGGGAAGCCAGTGGAAGCAAACAAGCAGTGCCAGTCGTCAGTAGCTCATCAACTGACGTTGTGTGGAAGGTTAGAGATTAGTGTCCTCATTCCTTTTCCCTCCAAGTTCGAAGTTTGCGCTGTCATAAGCTATCTAAATGCTAAGGGCATGAACGCCACTGTGATTCATCGTCAAATCGTTTCAGTTTATGGAGAGGACGTAATGTCAAGACAGCATGTGGCAAAACGGGCATGGAATATATTGTGAGACCATGAAGAAACTTCGCAGAGCCATCCGAAACAAATGTCATGGGATGCTGATGGCAAGAGTATGTCTCCTTCATGATAATGTGCGTCTGCACACCCCTCATGCAACATTGGGTTGGGATGTTTTAAGCCACCCCTCTCACAGCCCCCCATCTCACACCCATCTGTTCACTAAATTGAAGGAACACCTGGGTGGAAAACACTTTTCTTCCAACAATGAGGTGAAAATCGAAGTGACAATCTGGTTGAAATAGGTGGAGGGAAGCTTCTACGTCACGAGCATCAAAAAACTCGTCTCACGGATGACAAAATGTATTGAACTGTATGGTGATTATGTGGAAAAATAATGTAATGCCTATGCTACAATCCATGTAAGTTTTATTAAAATATATTCATTCTTTGTGTTTTAAAAAATCTTGTAACCTTACTCTCAGGATAACCCTTGTACTTTCAAAACAAGGACCGTACAGGGTTGTTGTAAGTTTATTGGGCTGTATGACCATCTTCCCGAAGCACTCTCTCCTGATGTTTTGCCTGCATCTATGGCAGGCATCCTCAGAGGTTGAGAGATCTGTTGGAAACTAGGCAAGTAGGGTTTATATACCTGTGGAATAATGTCCTGGGTGAGAGAAAGAACTCTTGTCTGTTGGAGGCAAGTGTGAATTTTGCAACTGGCTACCTTGATTAGCACTGCAAAGCCTTGCAGCTTCAAGGCCTGGTTGATTCTTGCCTGGGGGGATCCTTTGTTGGGATGTGTGAACTGGTCCAGATTGAGGACCAACACCGCATACCGTAATTAAACAGGAAACGACACTTTCAAACCAGGAACATTTTTTTCAAATTTGTTACATAGTGTAATTAAACACTGTTTAAACAAGTATATATGTTAAATAATGCATTTCTGGCCAATGAAGAAGAGGCAATCTCTCAAATATGGGCACCCAATGTCTTTATACTGGGAAAAAAATATAACAGGCACTGAACAGCTTTACATGTGGATAAATATATTAGCAAAATAAATAGGTTTGAGCATGTCCCCACACAGTCAAACAATCTCTATCTCTTTGACATAAATACATCATTTTTTTTGCAAACGTATATACACAAACGTTGGGTTTTTTTCCCTTTTCCCCCCTGGTATGGTTTACAAAAGTACCCAAGTGCCCGCGAAGTCGACTCAGGAAATTTAATTAAAAAGTACAAAAATAAATTCCTTGTTCACATTTCAAAGGGTCTGAGGTTGCCAGGAAGAAGAGAGCGAATGGCAATTGGAAGGGAAGAAAGGGGAGTTTCTTTTTCTGGACACGTCCACGTTTGAACCCTTTTGCTTACTTGTGTTGGAATACATTTCCGCTGAAGGCAAGGAATGTCCATCATCCTTTCCCTGTAAATCCCATAGTTCTGTATACTTTTGTGTTTTGATCGCAGCTGGAACAGAAATGAAGCCCGGTTGGTGCTATTTCCCGAAGGAAAGTAAAAAGTAAACGGTTCCTTCGCATTCACAGCACAGACACGTAGGGAAAAGTAGGGTGAGAAATGCCAGTGTTTTGATTCTTTTACAGGTGCCGCAAAAGGTGTGCCGGTCAAAAGGTAAATGTGTTCCCTTTTATGAATTGTTCTGGCCAGTTGACTGACAAAGCCTCCGCCAAAGCAACTTCCAATCCCAAAATTGATCAGGATGAGGGTTTTATACCAAAATGAGCCATAGATCGATAACTCCGAAGTAGGAGAGGTCTGCCTGCTCCCAGATTCCAAAACACATTGTACGAATACAGTGTTCCCTCACTTATTGCAGGGGTTACGTTCCAGGACCACCTGCGATAAGTAAAAAACCGTGAAGTAGGGACACCCCCTCACATTCCCTCCCCACCCTCTTTACCTTCCTCTTCCTCCTTGTTGCCGCCTGGGCCTCTTGCTGCTGCTTGGGCCCTACCATTGAGGAGACAGCGGAGGTGGGAGGAAGAGGAGGAAGAGGAAGATAAAGAGGGCGAGGAGGGAAGAAGAGCACTGGTGGCAGCGAGGAAGAGGAAGGTAAATAGGATGAGGGGGTGGCTCTACTTCCCTCCTCACCCTATTTACCTACCTCTTCCTCACCGCCGCGAGGGCCTCTTGCTGCCAAGCGATGAGGAAGAGGAAGGTAAAGAGGCCGGGGAGGGAAGAGGAGCCGCTCCCTCACCCTCTACCTTCCTCTTCCTCGCTACCGCCTGGGCCTCTTGCTGCAGAGGTGGCGTGGGGCCCAAGCGGTAGCAAGAGGCCCAGGTGGCAACAAGGAGGAGGAAGAGGAAGGTAAAGAGGGTGAGGGCCGGCTCTTATTCCCTCCTTGCTACAGTTTTCCCTCGCTATGTAAAATACACACACACACACACACAAGGGTTGAATGAAAAGTAATGCCTCCACCTTCGTAACTCAACAGTTGACAGTACTGGTATGTGGCAGGTACTGGCTTGTTCAGTAGATGCTCCTCTAAAGTTCCATTTCAGTGGGGAGCCTTAGCATTAAATGGTTGTGTTGTTATAGTGTGAAGTATGGAACCCTGCGCAGACGGTCAGTCAATGCGACAAGCAACGTGCAGTCATTGAATTYTTGACAGCAGATGTTCCCACCTCAACATCTTTAAACTTACTCGCCCAATGACGCACAGTACTCACATCAACACAATCACCATAAACAGCTTGCATTCTCTGATGAACCACCTTTGGGATGACACCTTCTGCTGTCAAGAATTCAATGACTGCACGTAGCTTAAGTTGCATTGACCAACCGTCTGTGCAGGATTCCATACTTTGCACAACCGTTCAATGCTAAGACTTCCGGCCAAAATGGAACTGCAGAGGAGAATCTACTGAACAAGCCAGTACCTGCCACATACCAGTGCTGCTATCTGTCGAAGGCTTACAAAGGTGGAGGCATTATTTTTTATTCAGTCCTTATATATGTGTGTGTGTATATATCGCAAAACAACAAGTCTGTGGTAAATGAACCATGAAGTAGAGAGGGAACACTACAGCTGAAAGAACAAAAAGGTTGGGAACCACTGATCTAAAAGAACCTACTAGCTTATTGTGACTGTGAGGGTTAGGAGTTGAGATACAGTCCCATTGGGCTTTGCTTCATTTTTCAAGGGGGTTTAGGGGAGAGACATAGCTACATGTAACCAGGATTGTAAAAAAAAAAAATCCCAAGAATCCGGTTAGTTGCACCGCAAGCAAAGAGATTGGGCTAGTTGCCCTGGCAAGAGTTGAACATGATCCCAAAGGCCTGGGATCCTTCCATTACATCTCCCCCACCCGCCCAGGAGCAAGGGGAAAGGTGAGTTTGGGGGAAATGATGTATGCGACTGCGTGAACTTCTCCCCTTCTTGTTTGCTCTTAAACTATTAGCAAGGACAACTTTCCAAGGCAGTTGGGTCCAAGGTGGCTCTTATGGAGGTGAGGTGTGGTGGGATGGAACCAATGATATTGTGGAAATGTAAACATCCAGGGATCTAAGGCACTTGGACAAGCATTTCCATGCTCGTAGGGAACCGCTATAGCAAAGATGGAAAGAGCACCTTGGGGTACAGTGGGAGATTATTTCCTGTCCTAGAAATGTGAGTGATTCCCCTCCTCTCATTTAAAAAAGGAACGACACAGTACCCTCCATCCCAGGCATGTAAGATGGCCACGTGCAAGATGGGCAGATTATGTTTGGCACGGGTGTGATGGCTTTGGCGGGCAAAGGAGCTGTTCAAGTAGCCGTGAAGTTGGAAAACACACTGTTTGGATAGGAATCCAAGGCTGGGTTGAGGGCTTGCGATAAAGTCCACACTCCCTAGCTTTCTGAACTGTTAAAAGTTCTCTTCTGGCTATGCTCCGTCACAGCAGGCACATTCCACTTCCTGTCACACTGAATGCTCGTACACATCTGGGGTGGCCTCATTGGGTCCTGTAATCAAGAACAAATATTAAGTGATTAGTTGATAAAGTGCATTTTTGTTGTTGCGATGGTGGTGTTTTCAAGTCTTTTCTGTCTTATGGAAACTGTATGAGATTGGTTGCTTCCGAGGCTGAAAGAATGATATTTGCCCCAGGTTGAGCAGAGATTCATTTAAACTCTGTTCCCCAGAATTGTAGAATTGGCTCTCAAAATGCAATATTATTGATCACTAGCTGTACCCGCCACGCGTTGCTGTGGCCAATCTTCCCACTTTCTCTCCTTTCCTTCCTTCCTTCCTTCCTTCCTTCCTTCCTTCCTTCCTTCCTTCCTTCCTTCCTTCCTTCCTGTCTTTCCTTCTCTTCTTCCTTCCTTCTCTTCCTTCTCTCTTTGCTTCCTTCTCCCTTTCCTTCTTTCTTTCTTTCTTTCTTTCTTTCTTTCTTTCTTTCTTTCTTTCTTTCTTTCTTTCTTTCTTTCCCTCCCTTTTTCTTTTCTCTTTCTTTCTTTCTTTCTTTCTTTCTTTCTTTTTTCTCTCTCCTTTCCTCCCTCTTTCTTCCCTTTTTCTGTATTGTCATTTAGCTTTCCATCATTTAGCTTTTGGGGGCTTTTTAAGTCCCTCTACTGTAATTTGGAGGGGAGTTTGGGGGATTGGTGGGCATTTTGCGAGCCATAAAATTAGGGCCAAGGGACCAAATGTTTCCCAGTTCTACCTCAAATAATGAGTAATCTTACCCTGAAGATCTTGCTGTGATTGGTCATTGAGGTAAGCACTGGTATCCATCTCTGTACATTTCCCAGAAGTCATGGCCTCAGAGTCCAATAGCTCCAATCCGTCCCTTTCTGTCTGAAGCTCCATAACAGAGCATGGCAAAACCTGGGTGGAGGCCCTGGAACAATCCGCAGAGGCACTGCTCGCCAGGAGAGGTTGGACCTCTATTGAGCAGCAGTTGTTGGGACCAGAAGGACTGGGGGTATTAATATCTAGGGGTACATTGGAGTCTTGAGAGAAAGAAAGCTGGGAATTGTCGAGGGGGCATTTCCATCTCCTCCGACTGGGATGGATATGCAGGTAATGTTTCTGAGACGTCCACAACCCAACAGCTTCGGACTCTGTGCCAAAGTCAGACTGAGCTATGAAAGGGAACACTTGCTGTTCTTCAGTCAAAGATGCAGATGGTCCAGTTTGGAAGGCATCAGCTTCAAGCAGCTGGATCTTCTCTGACTTCTTTTGCACTTTGGACCGGGAATATTTGGCCTTGCGTTGGCTGGGTTCATGGCCTGATTTGCTGCTCCGACAGTCCGATGGCGGGCTCCGTCCATAATGGTGGTGCCTGTGATGGTGGTGGTGGTAGTGGACAACATGACTGCTGGCCAGCTGGGCTCTGCTCGCCATTGCAGAGTCTACTGAGCGCGGCCTTGGGTCCTTCCACGAAGGACTTGGCTCGGCTCTGTTTTGCGCTGCTGCCTTCTCTGAACCACAGAAGGCAAATGGATCATAATCGCTGCTCAGCGAACTACGGAAAGTGGAGCAGCTGCCATGGATGGCTGTCAAGCTAACGTCAGTGCAATTCAAGATGGAGTCGCTGGAGGAACCGTGGCAAGGCCCTGAACTGGAGTCGCTACCGGGCCCGTCAGGAAGGTAGCCACTCGGCTCTGTGAGATAACTCTCCCCTGAGCCGCTGCTGTGATGGTGGTGGTGGTGGTGATGGTAGTAATGATGTCTCCCTTGGCGGATTCCTCGATGGAGCGCCGTGGTACGATTCGCTTTGGCAGCAAGAGTTCCCCGGAGACCCTGGCGGCAAGCAGATGGGTGCGGAAGTAAGCAGGCTCTGCCGTTACGGGAGGCGAATGCCTGCTGCCGCTCGCACACCAAAGGCTCCTGTGACTGGGGGACCAATTGGCTTCGGGCAAGAGGAGGCTGGAGGCCACACCTGTAGGGCAAGTAATGCATAGTCCCTAAGTCCAGCTGGGAAAGTTCTGGAGAGTGGAAGAACGGGTGGCCCTGGGGAAGCGTGGAAGAGCAGTTTTCTGGAGGAAAGCGATACACGGCATGCCCCGGATGTTGCTGGAAGAAGCGAGGCCTCTGCCCGGCTCCTTGGCGATGCGGATCCTCCTGTGGATGCACCGGTAAAGCAATGGGCGCTTGGTCTAGGAGAGACAAAAAAGATGGAGTCAGCTTTGAGCATTACTGAATGTTCTCTCCACTGAAAATACATCTTTAACACTGTGGAGAGGGGAGAGCAGGCGTGCAGTAGCAAATTGCATTTATGAAGTAGCAACAAAAATAATTTTATGTCTGGGGGTCACCACAACACGAGGAACTGCATTAAGAGGTCGTGGCATGAGGAAGGTTGAGAACCACTGCTCTAGAGTCATATTGAAAGATCTTGAGGGAACATCTGTAGGTCCTCCAGGGCAATTCTGTGCAAAACTTCCAACAGAAGGACGTACAGGTTCATAGATAGAACCTTCTCTAGAAATTTGGAGCCCCTCCAAGTCTCCATGAAGGAACCTTATTAAGTGGTCACAGCATTAGGGAGGCTGAGAACTACTGCTCTAGAGTCATATTGAAGGACCTTGAGAGAATATCTGTAGGTCCTCCAGGGCAATTCTATGCAAAACATCCAACAGAAGGGCCTACAGGTTCATAGATAGAACCTTCTCTAGACTTTTGGAGACTCTCCAAGTCCCCATGAAGGAACTGTATTAAGGGATCGCGACATTAGGAAGATTGAGAACCACTGTTCTAGTCATACTGAAGGACCTTGAGAGAATATATTTAGGTTCTCCAGGGCAATTCTGTGCAAAACATCCAACAGAGGGACATACAGGTTCATAGATAGAACCTTCTCTAGAAATTTGGAGCCCCTCCAAGTCACCATGAAGGAATCTTATTAAGGGGTCACAGCATTAGGGAGGTTGAGAACTACTGCTCTAGAGTCATACTGAAGGACCTTGAGAGAATATCTGTAGGTCCTCCAGGGCAATTCTGTGCGAAACATCCAACAGAAGGACGTACAGGTTCATAGATAGAACCTTCTCTAGACATTTGGAGACCCTCCAAGTCCCCATGAAGGAACTGTATTAAAGGATCGCGGCATTAGGAAGATTGAGAACCATTGCTCTAGTCATACTGAAGGACCTTGAGAGAATATCTGTAGATCCCCCAGGGAAATTCTGTGCAAAACATCCAACAGAAGAACCTACAGGTTCATAGATAGAATCTTCTCTAGACATTTGGAGGCCCTCCAAGTTACCATGAAGTAACTGTATTAAGGGGTCGCAACATGAAGGTTGAGAACCACTGCTCTAGAGTCATACTGAAGGACCTTGAGAGAACATCTGTAGGTCTTCTGGGACAATTCTGAGCAAAACTTCCAACAGAAGGACCTACATTGGCATGACAATTCATAACAGTAACAAAATGAGTTATGAAGTAGCAACGAAAATAATGTTATGGTTGGGGGTCACCACAGCATGGGGATCTGTATTAAGAGGTTGCGGCATTAGGAAGGTTGAGAAACACTGGGTTAGAAGGTGTCTGGAGAAGAGTGGACAAAATGGCCAAAGGTCTGGAAACTATGAATGTTTTTGAGGAGCAGCTGAAGAAGCTGGGTATGCATAGCTTGGAGAAGCGAAGGGTGAGAGAGGACATCAGAGCCAGGTTTCAATATTTGGAAGCTTGTTTTCTGCTGCTCTAGAGACCACGACACAATGGAGTTATGGATTCAAATTCTATGAAAAGAGATTCCACCTAAATATGAAATAGATGGCCATCTCTCAAGGGTGCTTTCATTGTGTTTGTCTTGTATGGCAGAAGGGGGTTGGACTTGATGGCCCTTGGCCTATCCTCCAATTCTAGAATTCTGTGCTTCAGCCCATTGCCAGGGGAATGCCATCTCGGCCGATGCTTACCGACAATGTTGAACATGCATAGCGGACACGTTTGGTGCTCCTGTAGCCACGGATCCACACAGCACCGATGGAACTCATGGAAGCAGGTGATGATCCGAAGTTCCTGCAAAGAAAGACCCAGGTCAGGGAAGGAAAGAGCTCCTGGATACGCCTTTCCAACATTGCTTCTGACTCAGATTTCTTGACGGCAAGGCAGAAAGGAATCACCTTGTGCCTCCAGGAAAAAATGAATGTAAAACACCCCTCTGCTACAGAAGTGCAGATAAATGCACAAACGCTATGCAATTGTGTTCTTGTGAGTTTTCCGGGCTGTATGTCCATATTCCAAAAGCATCCTCTCCTGACGTTTTGCCCACATCTCTGGAAGGCATCCTCAGAAGCTATGAGGTCTGTTGGAAACTAGGCAAGTGAGGTTTATATATCTGTGGAATAATGTCCAGGGTAGGAGAAAGAATTATTGTCTATTGAAGGCAAGTGTGAATGTTGCCATTGGCCACCTTGATTAGCACTGCAGAGCCTTGCAGCTTCAGGGCCTGGCTGATTCCTGCCTGCACAGCATGGAGACATGACATAATAATAATAATAATAATAATAATAATAATAATAATAATAGAGTTTTGGAGCACAATACTCCTGACCTCATGATCGTGTTTAAAAACAAAGTATGGATCGTCGATGTTGCAATCCCAGGCAACAGCAGGATTGAAGAGAAACAACTGGAAAAGCTGAAATGATATGAGGATTTAAAGATCAAACTGCAAAGACTCTGGCACAAGCCAGTCAAGGTGATTGGCACACTGGATGCAGTGCCTAAAGATCTTGGCCTGCACTTAAAAACAATCAGCAATGACAAAATTACCATCTGTCAGCTGCAAAAGGCCACCCTACTCTGATCTGCACACATTATTCGCTGATAAATCACACAGTCCTAGACACTTGAAAAGTGTCCAACGTGTGACTGAATACAAAAGCCAGCATAGTGATCTTGTTTGCTGTGTATTAATCTTATTGTGCATCACATAATAATAACAACCACAATACTATTACAATAGAAATAATAATGCTGGCATTTAAAATGGGTCCCGACTGCATTTATTCTCCAGCGCAGATGCACCCAGAGAAGGTTATGGACCTTGGGAAACTATAACTCCCAGGACGAATGTCATCACATTACAGAATTGGTCAAACATCCAGATCATTACCAAAAATCCAATTCCCTACAATCTCCTGAAACGTTTGAAAAGAATGCTGTCTCTCCATACTTAAAGTATGCAAAGAATGCTCTATCCTACACTTGAACCCAACCGAATGTGATGGACTTACGTGATGTGGCTTACCAAATTTTAAGTGTAGCACTCAGTGGAATGTAGTAAATGTGATGAAGTGGTAAGTTTCTTTCTCCAAGCCATCGCCGTGTCTGCTCCTTAAATCAAGATCTCTAGCCACTTGTGTTGTGATGGAAGTGTTGCGTCTCTTTATGGGAACCCACAAGGGCTGGCCTACCTGTCCGCAAGTCATAAAGAACCCTCACGGAACTCACCTGTCCTTCGCTGAACTCTTCCAAGCAGATGGCGCAGACAGGGGTAGAACTGCAGGAGCTGGCCGTATCTCCATTGGGAGCCCCAGGACGACGACGGCGAGTCTGGTACCTCCGGGTGGCCAGTTGGTTGATGGCCTGGAGGGTCTCTTCTTGAACGTGGGCCTTCAGGAATGATAAGAACATTCAAGGATCGAATAGGAAACAACAGAAGAGCCTAAAGGTTGGGAAATCCACCCTCTGATCATTTCCCAGCCCAAAAGCACCAAGCGAAAGTCATTAAGAAAAACTGACCACTGGATAGCAGTCAACGTTTGTCTACGATGCTAGGAAGGACTCCAGAACCCATCTTTCACAACTCTAATATAAGCAGGGTTTTTGAGAAACCTCATCCCAAATCAGATGGATCCTTACCTGGTTCCTCCTTGATTGGCAACGAGTGCGGACGATGAAGATCAGAACGATGACCAGGACTGTGCTGACTACTGTAAGGAGTATCCAGAGGTCATAGTTGGACTGTTGGAGAAATATCAGAAGGGGAGGGGATGTCAGTTCAAGCCCTGCCATGTTGAATCCTCCATCCGATCGAGGTCTATCAGTCTGGCCTACCTTGTAGGATTGTTGTGAGGATAAACAGGCACTATGAGTAATGAAAGCCCAGATTAAGAGGGAATAAGGATGTTGTTACCCCAAATATGAATTCTGCCTCTCCAAACGAAATTTGGTCCATTCTCCAGATTTCCAGGATAGTGGAAACTTAAAGCATCTTGTGGCATCTAAAGCAGTAGCTGGAAAAGGTACCCAGGGAAAGCAAAGACGGCAAAACGGGATGTTCTAGATATGGATGATTTCCAAGGTCTCACTCTCTGAAATGCCAGAATGCCGCACTTTTAATTGGCAGGGCTTAAAAATAGCTAGGTTCATTGAGTAATTAGATCATTCATAGATAACAGTAGATTTGTTCCTTCTCTTCATATGACTTATTATTTTTGAATTTTGAGGGTAAAATTTCGAAACTTTATGAAACTTCCGAATCTTTGTAAGTACTTCGTTAATGGCGGTCGCAAATGCTCATTAAGGAAAACATTACTGTCAGTGGGAAAACTTGAGGTGCTTCTCTCTCCTTCATTTTTGAGCTATCCTAATTAAACTTGCTACAGTGGTAGAACACATTTTCCACTGTTAGTTCACCAAATTTCAGAACGTTTGACATATTCACGAATTTTTTTGCAAATTTTCAGTTTTTAAAAACATTTTTTGGCGATCTCCTCTTCTGTCCCCCTCCCTCCTCAATCAGCCCTAATCGGCTGGAGAGGCATGCCAACAGGTTTGGCTTCGCCTCTCAGCAGGGCTTGGTTGCCCTGTGAATTTTAGTCTCGTCACAGCTACATCCGAACACATCCGAAACTTAAGAATCACAAGCACCTTTTGATTCAAATTCTTAATATTGGGGGCGGGGGGGGGGGCAGTAAGCAGGTGTGTTAGAACTCACTTCAAAAGTGATAAACTTCTGAACTAGAACTGAATCAAGAGTATTTCCGCATCAAATGAACAAGTCTAGGACTCATAGAGAAAGTAGAAGCCATCTGTAAGCTTTAGAAGTCATTGTGTGTTTACATCAGAAGCCGTGAGTACAGTTTAGATTTCAATACAGGAACAGTATGCTTATTGGACTCTCAAAACCAAGGAGATGCTTTAGACCAGGGGTCCTCAAACTAAGGCCCGGGGGGCCGGATGCGGCCCTCCAAGATCATTTACCCAGCCCTCGCTCAGGGTCAACCTAAGTCTGTAACGACTTGAAAGCACACAACAACAACAACAATCCTATCTCATCAACCAAAAGGAGGCCCACACTTCCCATTGAAATACTAATAAATTTATATTTGTTAAAATTGTTCTTCATTGTAATTATTGTATTGTTTTTAAGTGGGTTTTGCACTACAAATAAGATATGTGCCGGGTGCATAGGAATTCATGTTTTTTTCAAATTATAATCCGGCCCTCCAACAGTTTGAGGGACTGTGACCTGGCCCTCTGTTTAAAAAGTTTGTGGACCCCCCTGTTTTAGACTATGGACTATTGTTTCTAAGGAAGATGCCCTGTGTTACCTACACAGAGCAACTCCTACAAAATCCTGTTGTAACTGGATTCTTAAGCAAAGTGCCTGTATGCTGTATAAATGAAGTTTTGTGAGTAAACCAACTCTGTTACTGTTTTGTATCTCGAGAGCATGATTTAAAGGCAAATATATTTTAAGGGAGAGTAGATGTTTTTGGGCAACTAAAGGAACACTTTTATAACGCTGCTGAATATACGTATATGCTTTTGTGCATTGGCATGTCTTTGTCCCTGATAGTTCAAAGACGTACTTAGATACATCAGTTTAACAGCTGAGAGACCTAGTTGTCTTGGATGAATGCTGGTGCATGTCATTTTTCCAAAAAGGTTGTGACTTCTAACAAGGTCATACCTTTCCTGTGACCTGTGTTTTTCCCAAAAGATTATGAATCCCATTTCCCAAATGGTTATGAAGATTCACATTTTCCAAAATATTGTGCCCTCCTTAACTCGTACCTTGGGAAGTCTGACTTGACCACGGTGGTCCACACTTTGGTTACATCCCGTTTAGATTACTGCGACACTCTCTACGTGGGGTTGCCTATGAAGACTGCCCGGAAGCTCCAACTAGTCCAACGTGCGGCAGCCAGATTACTAACAGGAGTGGGGTACCAGGTGAAAACCTGGGGAGTGGGAGGGTGTCTCTGAGCATAGCTTCCGAGCACAATTCAAAGTGCTGGTGTTAACCTATAAAGCCCTAAACGACTCCGGCCCAGTTTACCTGTCCGAACGTATTCTCCCCTATGAACCATCTAGATTGTTAAGATCGTCTGGAGGGGCCCTGTTCTCGGTCCCACCGGCCTCTCAGGCACGTCTGGTGGGGACGAGGGACAGGGCCTTCTCGGTGGTGGCCCCTTCGACTCTGGAACTCTCTCCCACTGGAGATCAGAACTGCCCCCTCCATTCTGTCGTTCAGAAAACGGTTGAAAACCTGGCTATGGGGTTTGGCTTTCGACGAGTGAATCAATATTTCTGTGATCGGATAGAAGACGATGAATGATGGACAACGAATTCACTATGACGACTGACCATTGTTATTATGTGATTGCATTTTGCTGTTATAACGTTTTAAATTGAATATGTTATATGATGTTTTTAATGATTGTTTTGTGATTTTATTGTTGGAAACCGGCCCGAGTCCCCCGATAGAGGGGAGAAGACCGGTATACAAAATTGCTAAATAAATAAATAAATAAATAAACTCCCTCCATGAATATCTGATTGGCAGGGAACATTCCCTGTAATTCGTTACTTCCAAGTCATGAGGAAAAGATTGAAGCACACAACATTAAAAATGGAGGACCAAATCCTGAAAAATGGTTCAGAACAAAAAGAACGAAAATCTGGAAGAGACAGTAAAAACAAGCTTTGAGTCAGGAATAAAAACAAGAATGAACAAGTCCTGAAAAACAAGTGAAAGAAGAGATTTGGTATGGATGGAAGGAGCAACATGCGGTATGGATGGAGGACAAGCCAAGCGTGTGGTGAAGATCTCTCTTTTTAATCATTTTTTTTAACCAAGTGAAGATGGTTAGGAGATAGGTTCGGCCTGTTTCATCAGAGCAGAAAGGATGAAAGCTGGAGGTAGATAAGGATCTAGAAGAGAATTAGACAAAAGGAAAGCAAGACCAGATAGCTGGCTGGAGAACTGGAGAGCAAAAAGGAAGGAGCAGAAGAAGCCTATAATTAGACAGCGGGGCAAGATCAAAGGACCGGTTCTTCTTTTTTGTGTTTCTCCCTCCCTAGAAATAGGTGACACAATCATCTCTTTGAAGAAGAGGAGCCAGGAGAAAGTGAAAGGTTAAAGGTATGGATGAAGAAAGAAGGGAAAAGACATTGAAATCAGAGATGGGACAAGATGGGAACCAGATGGAGGAGAATGTCAGGAGGGATCCACGATGTACAGTAGAATCTTGCTTATCTAACATAAACAGGTCGGCAGAATGTTGGATAAGCGAAAATGTTGGATAATAAGGAGGGAAAACGCCAAATTATGTTATGATTTTACAAATTAAGCACCAAAACATCATGTTTTGCAACAAATCGACAGAAAAAGCAGCTCAACACACAGTAACATTCTGTAATAATTACACTACAGTGTTCCCTTATCGCAGATGTTATGTTCCAGGATCACCCGCAATAAGTGAAAATCCGCGAAGTAGGGTCTGCCCCCTCCCTCTCTCTCACTCACTCAATGGTGGTGGTGGTAGTAAGTGGCTCTTCTTCTCTCTGTGGGCTCCCTTTGGCGGGCGGCAGAGGCCCAGGAAGCAACGAGGAGCCTCCTCCGCCGGGACTATCCACTCCAGAGACTTCTGGAGCAGCAGCAGCCACGGCACCCACCTCTTCTCCGAGTGAGGAGGCGGCGGAGGCATCACGGGGCCCAAGCAGCAGAGGGACTAATGAGCCGGGTCCTGTGGGTGGGAAGGGAGGCACCGAAGAAGAGGGTAAAGAGGGCGAGAAGGCTGAGCCTACGCTGCTATTGCTGTTGCGAGGTCTCTCGGATCTGGATCCAGGCCATGGGGGATCCATCCATCCTGTGTTCCCTCGCTACTTGTACTGTATATTTTAAATTCATACTTCTTTAATGTGTGGGGCTTGATAAATGCAAGGCTGGGGTTAAAATTGCTGGAAGAAACATTAACAACTTTAAGTATGCAGATGATACCACTTTGATGGCCGAAAGCGAGGAGGAGCTGAGGAGTCTTCTAATCAAGGTGAAAGAAGAAAACTGGGTTGCAGTTAAACATAAAAAAACAAGATTATGGCAACCAGACTGATTGATAACTGGCAAATAGAGGGAGAAAACGTGGAGGCAGTGACAGACTTTGTATTTCTAGGTGCAAAGATTAGTGCAGATGCAGACTGCAGCCAGGAAATCAGAAGATGCTTACTTCTTGGGAGGAGAGCAATGACCAATCTCGATAAAATAGTGAAGAGTAGAGACATCACACTGGCAACAAAGATCCGCATAGTTAAAGCAATGGTATTTCCTGTAGTAACCTACGGATGTGAGAGCTGGACCTTAGGGAAGGCTGAGTGAAGGAATGGTGGTGTTGGAGGTAAGTTCTGAGAGTGCCTTGGACCGCAAGAAAATCCAGCCAGTCCATACTTCAAGAAATAAAGCCCTACTGCTCATTGGAGGGAAGGATACTAGAGACAAGATGAAGTACTTTGGCCACATAATGAGAAGAAAGGAAAGCTTAGAGAAGACAATGATGCTGGGGAAAATGGAAGGAAAAAGGAAGTGGGGCCGACCAAGGGCAAGATAGATGGATGGCATCCTTGAAGTGACTGGACTGACCTTGAAGGAGCTGGGGGTGGTGACACGGCTGACAGGGAGCTCTGGCGTGGGCTGGTCCATGAAGTCACGAAGAGTCGGAGACGACTGAACAAATGAACAACAACAACATTTTGAAAATCCGCAAAACAGCAAGTCCACGAAAAGCAAACCACAAAGTAGCGAGAGAACACTGTATTTACGAATTTCGATCGTTTTAGCATCCGAAAGCACTTCAGTGCAACCTGCTTATTTGAAACGCATGCTGTGGATCCATTATCGCGGGGCGAGGCTTAGACTCCTGCACTGTATTTATGTTCATCATAAGATATCACGGATCACACCGGCACGTTCTGTGCTTTGCTAGCTGTGAACTGTTGCTCAACTTTTGTATCCTGTTTATTTTTGGATGCTCTGTTGTATATTTTTTGGTAATTTTCCCTAACATGTTGTCCATGATGTACCTCCATCGGTGTTTACACATACTGCAAGGGATGGAAGGTCTCAGCGTACAGATCTGCATCCCATGTTATTCAAGCAGAAAAGAGGTTACTAATGGCAATAGCACTCACCCAAGCCGGCATCTCCTTCACTTCGATCTTCACATGCGCCTCCCGGTTATTGTTGACCACTCCCATCAGGAGTTCGGCATCGTGGCCCCAGATCAGAACCACTGGGTGGCTGAGGCCACGGGGCTTCCTCAGCTGTAAAACAAAGCATAGGTGTAAAATTATGTCAGACCACAATTTCAGGTTTAACCCTTCACAGATTTGATAAATAGGGTCTCTCTGGAACAGCATTTCTCAACCTGGGGGTCAGGACCCCTGGGGGGGGTCACAAGGGGGTTTCAGAGGGATCAACAAAGACCATCAGAAAACATATTTCTGATGGTCTCTTAGGAACCCCTTGCGCAGAGAAGGCTGAAGATCTCTCTGCCTGTCCTTCTCTTCCTTTTTGGAAACAGACGACAAATTGTCCTACCGAAAGCCCTCCTATTACCTTCCCGCCGGAGTGGTACCTATTACCTTCCCGCTGGAGCGGTACTTATTGATCTACTCATGTTTGCATGTTTTCGAACTGCTTGCTTGGCAGAAGCTGGGGCTAACAGCAGGAGCTCATGCCGCTCCCTGGATTCGAACCTGCAACCTTTCAGTCTGCAAGTTCAGCATCTCAGCGCTTTAACCCACTGGGGCACCGGGGGCGCCTTACTTCTAGTACTCTGCTATATTTTTGGTGGAATCACTCCAACTGAGGGTTATTTTTTGAGCCTAATAGCTCAGATTCCTCAACAATTCCCCAAAAGAGAGCTTCTTACCTGGTCAGCGGCGGTCTGGTCGTCTGTAATGTCAAAGAGAACGGCCCGTGCTCCCCTCTCTCCCGCCAGTTTGGCCTGCCCAAAGAGACCAAAAGAACATGGCCTTAGAGAATTGGCATCACAACATCAACAGTCTCCATCTTTGATTCGGTTTCAAGCTGTTACTCCTGATGGTTTATTTATATATATAGAAGCAGTGGGGGGAATGAACCATAGTATCCTGGAGTTGGAAGGCACCCCAAGGGCCATCCAGTCCAACCTCCTTGTCTAACAAGAAGATACAACCCAATCCCTCCCAACAGATGACCATCAGCCTCTGCTTAAAGCCTCATAGAGAATAAGACCTTATTGTGGAAAGAGAAAGGCTTCCATGCTCTGTCTTACATATCTTTTAATAATATCTCACTTGTGGCAAAGCAACATCGGAGTGTGCTCAAGGTGGAAAGAGTTATTAATGAGAGAGATCAAACCTTTGAAACTCAATCCCTACATCTCTCCTGACATACAAGCAGAGAGAGATCTCAAAGCACACAGCACATATGAGGGTTGAATGAAAAGTAATGCCTCCACCTCCGTAACTCCTCAACAGCTGGCAGTACTGGTATGCCGCAGGTACTGGCTTGTTCAGTAGACTCTCCTCTACAGTTCCATTTTGGTGGGAAGCCTTAGCATTGAATGGTTGTATTTAAAGTGAAAAGTAATGCCTCCACCTCCGTAACTCCTCAACAGATGGCAGTACTGGTATGCCGCAGGTACTGGCTTGTTCAGTAGACTCTCCTCTACAGTTCCATGTTGGCAGGAAGCCTTAGCATTGAATGGTTGTTAAAGTGTGAAGTATGGAACCCTGCACAGACGGCCGGTCAGTGCGACTTAAGCAATTCAATTCTTGACAGCAGAAGGTGTCGCCCCAAAGGAGATTCATCAGAGAATGCAAGCTGTTGATAGTGGTTGTGTTGATGTGAGTACTTGTTGAGCGAGTTTCAGGCATCAGCATCCTGGGTACCCATCGTGCACAGATCTTCTGTTATCCAAGCAAAGCAATAATGTGACCCACATGTTCTTGTGAAATGCCGATTATGCTTGAAATTTCTCTCTGAGTGATACGACAATCGCCCTGAATCAATCTGTCAACCTTTTGCTTGTGAAACTTGGTGGTTGCTGTCACAGGATGTCCAACTCTTTGCTTGTCACGCAAGTCAGATGTTCCCACCTCAACATTTTTAAACTTTCTCACCCAACGACACACAGTACTCACATCAACACAATCACCATAAACAGCTTGCATTCTCTGATGTAATGAGAATGTGAACCACTGTGCCCAAGTCTGACTTCAGACTGCTCTTTGATTGTAGGTGAACTATACATCCCAGCAACTACAACTCCCAAATGACAAAATCAATCCTGCTCCCCACCCCTCCAGTATTCAAATTGGGGCGTATTGGTTATTTGTGCCAAATTTGCACCAGTGAATGAAAATACATCCTGCACTTCAGATATTTACATTACAATTCATAACAGTCGCAAAATTACAGTTAGGAAGTAGCATCGAAAATGGTTAGGGGTCAGCACAACATGAGGAACTGTATTAAGGGGTTGCGGCATTAGGAAGGTTGAGAACCACTGCTCAAAGTGGTGAATCCATCCATTCGTCCATCTATGGCCCCAGCTTCTGCCAACCTAGCAGTTCGAAAAAATGCAAATATGAGTAGATCAGTACTCTTGCAGGAAGGTAATGGCACTCCTTGCAGTCATGCCTGCCACATGACTTAGGAGGTGTCTACGGACAACGCCGGCTCTTTGGCTTAGAAATGGAGATGAGCACCACACCCCAGAATCGAACACGTTGAGAAACACTGCTCTAAGAGAAAGTAATAATAATAATAATAATAATAATAATTTATTTATACCCCACCACCATCTCCCCAAGAGACTCGGAGCAGCTTACATGAGGCCAAGCCCAACAACACATCAATAAAACCTATATAGCTAGCCTATCTATTGTATTTGTATCGCACTTTTTCATGTGGCCAACGTGAAAAATGATAGATAAAGGTTTCCCCTTGACATTAAGTCCAGTCGTGTCTGAGTTTGGGGGTTGGTGCTCATCTCCATTTCTATGCCAAAGAGCTGGCGTTGTCCGTAGACACCTCCTAGGTCATGTGGCGGGAATGACTGCGTGGAGTGCTGATACCTTCCTGCAGAAGCAGCACCTATAGATCTACTCACATTTGCATGTTTTTGAACTGCTAGGTTGGCAGAAGCTGGGGCTAACGGGAGCTCATGCAGCTCCCCGGATTTGAACCTGCAATGTAAATATCTAATATGCAGGATGTATTTTCATTCGCTGGACCAAATTTGGCACAAATACTCAATACGCCCAAATTTGAATACTGGTGGGGTTGGGGGGTGGGGGGGTGATTTGTCATTTGGGAGTTGTAGTTGCTGTCATTTATAGTTAACTTACAGTCAGAAGAGCATTCCAAACTCCACCAATGATGGAATTGAAGCAAACTCCCATAACCAACAGAAAATACTGGAAGGCTTTGGTGGGCATTGACCTTGAGTTTAGGAGTTGTAGTTCATCTACATCCAGAGAGCACTGTGGACTCAAACAATGATGGATAGACCAACCTTGGCACAAATACTCAATACTTCCAAATTTGAACCACTGGTGTAGTTTGCAGAAGATAGACCTTGATATTTGGGAGTTGTAATTTCTGGGATTTGAAGTTCTCCTACAATCAACTCCACCAAGGATGGAATTGAACCAAACTTGGCACACAGAACTCCCATGACGAACAGAAAATACTGGGAGGGTTTGGTGAGCATTGACCTTGAGTTTGGGAGTTGTAGTTCACCTACCTCTAGGGAACACTGTGGACACAAACAATGATGGATCTGGACCAAACTTGGCGTGAATACTCAATATGGCCAAATGTGAACACTGGTGGAGTTTGGGGAAAATAGACTTGACTTTTGGGAGTTGTAGTTGGTGGGATTTATAGTTCACCTACAATCAAAGAGCATTCTGAACCCCACCAATGATAGAATTGAGCCAAACTTCTCACACAGAACCCCCAATACCAACAGAAAATACTGTGTTTTATTATGGTCTTAGGCGACCCCTTTGCCACCCCCAGGGGTCCCGACCCACAGGTTGAGAAGTGCTGCTCTATGCCCTAATTCAGCAGCAAGAAACACAATTACTCCTTTGCCATCCCACTTCTCTCTTCTTCTTCCTTTGTCCCCAGCTCGCTTCAATTGTTGCAGATGGAGTTCAAAGGAGTTTGGATCACATGAACCCAGGAAAAAGTCAGCAAAAGTAACTGGCTGCAGATCCTCGCAGATCCTGCGCGTTCTTCCTTGCCAATAGCTTTTGCTATCTTGTGTCCTGGTGCAAATCTTAGCCTTCTTTCTCTCTCTCTCTCTCTCTCTCTCTTTCTGTGAGCCAACCAGCCCGCCTCCTAGCCCTTCCCTGTCTGGGTGGAACAAAAGCCTGCTGTGTTCCCGCTGAGCAGTTGCAGCCTCTGCACCAGCCCCATCTACCTTAAATTCCCCCGCGTTCCCCACCCTTTCGGCCAGCTCACCTGCCTCCTTCCCTCCCTCTCCCATTGGCACTGGGGCCCTGCCAAGAACAGGCCTCAAAACTCAACCCGCTCTTGGCCGGGCTTCAAAGGCCTGCGACGACGCGAATGAACGAACCGCAAGCCCGGCCTCCCCACAAACGCCCCAGGGCAGGTGGTTGCTGGCCGCCGTCCTCCTCTTTCTCCTTCCACATGGCAGCAGAGGCCTCCTTGCTCTTCAAGACATGGGCCACTCCTCAGGAGCAAGGCAAGAAGGGTGGCCTGGCTCATCCTTGAGGAAGGTTGACCTTTTGGAAGCCAGGAACCTTCTGTGCATGCTCGGAGGCACTCAATTGGATCAGTCAGAGAGTTGGAATGAAGGGCCATCTGGTCCAAGCCATGCAGGAAGACATAATCCAAGCCTTCTCAACAGATGGACATCTGGCCTCTGCTTAAAAAACCCCCAAAGATGGAGATTCTACCACATATCATTTCTATCATGAATGTTTAGATCCTGAAAGAAGTGAAAAGTTGAGTGCCACAAGTAGGGTTTCGTCCTGGGCCCGGTCCTGTTCAACATCTTTATTAATTACTTAGATCAGTGTTTCTCAACCTGGGGGTCGGGACACCCTGGGGGTTTCAGAGCGGTCACCAAAGACCACCATGTTTCAAATGGTCTTAGGAACCCCTTTGGCAGAGAAGGCTGAAGATCTCGCCGCTGGTCCTTCTCTTACTTTTTGGAAACAGACGACAAATTCTCCCACCGAAAACCCTCCTCTGCTGTGATTGGTTGGCCTCTCAGTCAAGGGGAGGGCTGTTTCTGAGACTCCAAACAAGGAAGGGAGAGCAAGTGAGCTGGTGCATGGCAGCATGGTGCGCATGTGCAGATGGGGGAGAGTGTGCAAGGCTGGAAGGAGGGTCGTGCCAATGAGTCCCTTCAAGGCATGTGGGATCTGTGTGGGAAGTTTGGCCCAAATCCTCCCACCGAAAACCCTCTTCCGCTGGGCTTGGTCAGCCTCATCCAAGGGGAGGGCTGTTTCTGAGACTCCAAACAAGGAAGGGAGAGCAGGCGAGCTGGCGTATGGCAGCATGGTACGCATGTGCAGACAAGGGAGAGCATGTGAGGCTGGAGGGAGGCTCGCGCCAATGACTCCCTTCAAGATATGTGGGTTCTGTGTGGGAAATTTGGCCCAAATCTTCTCACCCAAAATCCTCCTCTGCTGTGATTGGCTGGCCTCTTAGCCCGCCTCTTAGACAAAGGGAGGAGTTTCCGATACTCCAAGCAGGGAGGGAGAGCAGGTGTGTTCAGCGCATGGCAGCATGGTGTGCATGTGCGGCTGCGGGAGAGCGTGCGAGGCTGGAAGGAGGCTCGCTCCCTCAACTACTTTGAAAGCATGGGGGTTCTGTGTGGGAAGTTTGGCCCAATTCTGTCATTGGTGGGGTTCAGAATGCTCTTTGATTGTAAGTGAACTATAAATCCCAGCAACAACTCCCAAATGTCAAGATCAATTT